TGTAATGTGTACATGATTATGTGTCTGTGTGCTTGTGTGTGCCTGTGTGTAGGTATGTATGTGCTCTTGTGCCTGTGTGTGTACTTGTATATGTGTCAAAGTATGTGTGCATATATGCCTTGTGCTTCTGTGTGCTTGCCTATGTGTTTGTGTGATTATGTGTCTGTGTGCTTGTGTGTGCCTGTGTGTAGGTATGTATGTGCTCTTGTGCCTGTGTGTGTACTTGTATATGTGTCAAAGTATGTGTGCATATATGCCTCGTGCTTGTGTATGCTTGCCTATGTGTTTGTGCCTGTGTGTATATTCCTGTGTGTGTGTGTGTGTGTGTGTGTCTGTGTGTGTGTATCTATGTGTAAGATTTTCCCAGTGAAGTAGCTTTTAGGGTCAAGGGTAATCCTTCAACTTTCTCATCTGATTTACTAAATGAAATTTGATTAGGGTATCAATGAATTCCTTTTGAGATTTTCCATGTTTAGCATCTTTAATGTATTTTTATGTATTGATTTTTATTTTATGAGTATGAGGGTTAATTCTGCATGTATGTAAGTGTGCCCATGTCATGCAAGGCCTGCAGAGATCAGAAGAGGGCATTGGAACTCCTGGAATGGAGTTATGGATAGTGTTAGCCACCGTGTAGGTGGTGGGAAACAAACCTGGGTCCTATACAAGAGTAGCCAGATCTCTTAAGTTCTGAGCCATCTCTCCAGCCCCAGCATATTTAATATTTTAAAATACAATATTTTATTAATTCTTTGAGAATTTCATACAATATATTTTGATCCTATTCATCCACACTCTTCTCTTTGACTTCTACCAGATCCATCACCACGACCCTACCCCTACTGTCCGCCTCCAAACTTTATTTCTTCTTTTTTAAAAAATAACCTATAGTCCAATATCGTTAGGGTTCTAGGACCATTGTGGAAAAGAAGGTGGAAACATTGTAGAAGCCATATCTTGGGAGGACTGGAACAATCCAGTGTCCTTTGGACATGACAGGATAGCTACACTCATGAACTCACATCAGCAGTGATTGCTTGAAGAAGACCTACACAAGATCAAGCCAGTTAGCACTCTAACATGGAAGGTCAGAGTTTCCTAAGCCCCTACCCCTAACTGAGGAGCTACTTATAGTTGATGCCTTCTGAGAGAAGGAGAATCAGTTTCTTTAAGGGTGTAGCCCCTGGTAGATCAGCCATTGTAGCATCTTTAATATGTTTTAAAAATCTGAATTTAAAGGAAGAAGACCTACACAAGATCAAGCCAGTTAGCACTCTAACATGGAAGGTCAGAGTTTCCTAAGCCCCTACCCCTAACTGAGGAGCTACTTATAGTTGATGCCTTCTGAGAGAAGGAGAATCAGTTTCTTTAAGGGTGTAGCCCCTGGTAGATCAGCCATTGTAGCATCTTTAATATGTTTTAAAAATCTGAATTTAAAGAGCTTAACATTAGATTAATATTTTAATATCTTTAATAAGTTAAACATTAAACTCTTGATATTTCTAAAAAAGTTAATATCGGTTAACATTTAATATATTAAGTATGTATTTCCTATTCTGAAACTTTGTTAAAGTTAACTTATTTAGTTGTTTAACAAATTATTTTTCTTATGTTTATGATATTTGAATTATTATTAAGTGATATACATATTTATAAATTATAACATTGAGTTATCTCATGACAAGGGATACTGTAAGTAAACTATATGTAGACACTGGAATTCCTTCAGTCAAGAAGTCATCACTGAGTGCTAAGCAATAGGTATTGAGAATGTACATGATGGTAGTAAAGTGAATTTTTTTTTCTTGTAAGAGTAGGTAGGAAAGTGCAATTCAATCTAACACTCAGAATTTAGCAAGGAAGGACATAATAGTATTTAAAAAATAGAATGTCATAAATATAAATCAC